CACAGTGAGTAAGGCACTTGACTGCTAACCAGAAGATTGGTGGTTCAACCCCACCAGCCACTCTGTGGATGGAAGACTGGGCAATCTATTTCCGTTGAGATACCGCCTCAGAAACCCCATGGGGGTCGCTATGAGTTGGAATCGACTGAACGGCAGTAAGTTTGGCAGGAAGCAGACCACATCCCCAAGGCAGCTACTCAGCTGCTCACAGTAGATTCCATCATGGAGTTGATTACCAGTCTCATCATGGGGAATAACTACATCCAGCCCAGCCACTCAACCAGGCCCAGCCAAGCTGACCCAAAAATTTAACCACACCCAGTCTTCCTTCTGCAGAGTTGCTGGTGGGTTTGAACCGCTGACCTTCTGATTAGCAGTCAATGCCTTAGGCACAGTCCACAAGCGCCCCTTTCTCCACATATGGGGGATGGGAAAAGGGCACGCAGGCCATAGGGGTCTCCCCTCCCATCTGCCTGTGCCTCGCTTGGGCATGGAGGCTGAGCCTGCCACAAAGACTGAGGTGACTGAGTGTACTCATACTCAAGTCTGCCCTGGGCGCAGGGGCAACCCCAAGACTGCGTGCATGAGGACCCTGCCTTGAGGCAGTCCCGGAGGGGGGTTGGGAGCAAAAACATCTGCTTTGCGGGAAAGGGGTGGGGTCAGCCGATGGCTAGGGTGTCTACGAGGGCTCCCCAAGGGGGCAGTGGGCCCAAGCCTTTGCAGTCTGCCCTGTACCCCAGATCCACAAGGGACCACCAGCTTCCTCCCTGGCAGACTGGGTGGGGCTTGCAGGGCAGGGCTGGTTTTGGGGGGAGCAGGTCCTTGGGGAGGGATAGGGCCTCCAGAAGGGAGGACAGCCCGCTGGGCCAGACCTGAGGGACCCTTCGCCACCCCGTCCCACGCAGGGTGGACACAGCCTTCAGCACCCAACCCTTCAGAGGGGTCAAGGCCTCCGACCACAGCGCCCCAGCCCAACACAGGGCCTGGATGCGCCCCACCCTCCTCCACAGCTCGGGGCTCCCCAGTCCAAACAGTACAAAATCTCTTTATTGGTCCTTGTCTGTAAAGGTCCTCCTCTTGGCGGCCTGTGGGGACAGGAAGCAGCAAAGCTTGGGCGGCCCGAGCATAGCCCAGGGCTGCATCCCCGAGCCCGGGCAGAAGCATGGGGGATGACGGCCAGGCCCCACCTGCTTGCGGACAAGTGAGGCCCGAGCACATTGAGGGCACCGTGGTGAGGGGACAGTGGGGTCAGGTCCCGTCCCAGCGGCCTGGCCACCTTTGTGGAAGGCATGGCTGAGAAGGGGGCTGGGCCAGGGGGCTGGGAGAGCAGCCCCCCGGATTTCAGCAGTGCTGTCTTTCCAACCCCAAATTCACCTAGAGTCCCAAGCCCCAGGCGCCTTATAAGGGGGGGAAGAGGCCCGAGAGGATCCCAAGTTCCAGGTGACCCCAGCACTGGAA